TTGCATCGCATGAGACAACAAACGGAATGGCATCGTAAATTGAGAGGCACAAACAAAACGAATATGTGCACAAAACAATTGCAGCATGCAATTTCAATTTCAGCGTATGTATGTTGTGTGCCGTGTCTCTGTGTGCAAAACCGAAACCTTAATGTAAATGTTATGGGCTTTATTTTATTCGCTTAGGTTTTTGGTTTCTTGTGTGTGTGTGCGACGCGCGTTCAGCCGCTTTGCTCTGGCTATGGCATGTGTGATGTGGTGCCTATAAAATCGATAATGTCCCATTAGTAACGACTAATCACATTTAATCGCACATAAGAACAAAATGTGCATTGTGCACCATCGCGTTTGGTGCGCGCGACACTCATTCGTTCGTACGTTGGCTGCCGTGAGTTGAATGCATTGCATCAGCTTCCAGTACCGAAAAACTCGACCGGCTGCACTTTATTTTTTATCCAAGCATATCAATAGAAGCTGCACGTATCGCATTCACTCTGACCAAAACACGAGACACAGAACAGACGCGTACCGTCGTATCGACCGCGATTAAATTATGCCTTTAAATTGCCGTTTATTGAGCAAATATTTTCCACCGAAATAGTGTTAATGCATTGTTAACGTCAATTTTATGATCGACATTTCAGCACTTCACACAATTTACAAATCTCAATATTCTTACACCCATTTCCATTTTTTTTTCGCATTCAACTATAATATTTTTCACTCTGACAATTATTGGACGTTTAACGGTTTTGTACAATGTCTTCATGACATTTAGATAAAAGCGAATGATACAGTTTAAGACTAACGAAAACGTTAAGCGATTTTTAAATGCATTTTCTTCCTTCTTCTGAAATTATGGTTTTATGTTAAGGTTCTACTTGAACTTATCGACTTTTGGATGAACAAAAAAATCAATCTTTTTAAGCCGGTATAAATGAACCAGAAAAGAATCTCTAGAAGAAACGCCGCAAAAAAAACTGGAATTTTTGAATGCTTGCATTTTATTGTTGAAAGAAACAAAAAATACATGGTTTTTTTTTATTATAATCTTGGTTATAATAAAACTAAAATATAATTATATTTTACTTGAATTCTCAGTCCATTCCTTCCGGCTATGCCGCATATAACCAATAAAAAGGTTATTGCATAATTATTACGTTCGCTTCTGAAGACACTGACGAAATGGAATTATTTCAAATTATTATATGGTCAATTTAAATCATTTTTGCCAATTAAAATGAACTCCATTGCAGCGAGAGTTGTTCCTTCACTTTGCGAAATCATGAACAATGGGTGTAATTGAAGTTTTAATCAAATCTTTGTGATTGCTTCACTTGTTTTATGGGCGAATTTAATTATTGGCCTTGATTAAACTCTTCCATAAAATGATATACTTTCAAATTAAAATCAAAATTGATGCTGAGCCAATTTTGGTCTAGATTACAATGACCATATGGAACTGCTATTCTTGCGACTCTATACAATTCTTAATTTGATGATTTGAAATCGTAACGAATTAATCGTTAAAATGTGATCTTTGATACAAATTCGGAAATAAAATTTCAAGGACTTTTTTCTGCTTAAATTTTGGGAATAGTTGGCGTTTGGTTGGTCAAAAATGGATGTCAGAGCGCGTTATAATGATAAACAATAAAGAGTAAACATGAGGTATTTTATAACTCGGTAACTCTTTGGCGCCACTTTTCCACATGCGGACATTGTGTGTGTGTGTGTCTGTGTTGAAACTGTGGATTTTATTGTTTGAAACGGCTCAATTTGGGAATAGCATTAAAAAGGCAGCAGTAACAACAGTGAATCATTTCAGCATCTTAAATAAACAGAGAATAGGCTGAGAGATTGAGTGAGTGGTGAACTCTGCAGGCCATTCATATTTCTTGTCGAACATTTTATGATTTAATTTTTTATGATTTTATAACTCATAAATTCAAAGCATTTGAATATGTACGGATGATTTTGGCCATGTGAAAGCAATAATCCAACGCTGGACGACGTTGTTTATTCAACGTGCGTCGCCGTGCATAGGAGAGCAACACACCGTGCGGCGACTGGGTCGTCATTAAATTGTTTCGTGTCAGTTTGCGTACGTAAATTTTTTTGTTCCGTTTCATTTTGTTTCAACATCTCTCTCTCTCTCTCTCTCTTACTCCCTCTCTCGCTGGCCCATTCTCTCCATACAATATATAATAAGCGATCTGAACTGGCGCATGTGCAATTAATATGCTTGCACTTATTTTAATTTTTATTTTCAAGTCAGGCATTTTAAAGTCATTAAAAGATCGTTGATTATCAGTGTGAATTTTTTTTTCTCTGTCGTTTTGTTTTTGATTCGTGCATTGATCAATGCGAGCCCATGGACTTGATACGATCGATGGATTGCTGGCCAAATTGATGACTTCATTTAATGATCAATATTTCTTACGAAACGATCGATTCCAAAACAAAGCACACATTCTGTTCTCCATGGCGCAGTTCCCATGCCATTAAAATTATTTAAAAAAAAAATTTACTAGCGATCACCGCTTGCCTTTCATTTTTCTTTTGATTACGCAAAAAAAAAATCGATGGAAACAAAGAGATAAAACTCAAAGCAGAAAAAAAGAGAATAAACAAAAATGAAAAATTAAAAATCGAAATTAAAATGAAATAAAAACATGAAAACAGAACTCGATTCTCGTTGTTGTTTTTTTTTCTCGTTCGAATATGAATTTTTATCATCGAACACATCGATACTGAAGCTCCGCCTTGTTTTCATGGGAATGATAACAATTTAGTTTTGTTTTCTGTTCACTTGCGCGCCCATGAACGAGATTCTTATGAATATTAAATCAAAATAATACGAAGAATTCATGCGTGGATCGAACATCAATAAAAATTCGCACAACAACAACAACGACGACGACAGCGACAGCAATAACGCTCCGCCCGAACGCTGTTCGCTCTCTGTTGCATGCAAACAGGATTCAAACGGCAGCGCAATGCTTTTTTTTCCTGCTGTTTTGTTCATCCAACTTCGTTTCATTGCATAAATTTAATATTTACAATTCATTGCGTTTTTCATTACTCTGTTGTTTTTCATCACAAACGAAGCAAAAAAAAATTCTTTTACATTCCTCATCATCGAAATAAATTCCGCGCGCACGCGAGAAAGAGAGAGGGAAAAAATGGATAGTTCAAGTGTCTGGCATGGTATAAAAATCGCCCGATCGGATGCATTTTATAAAGCATATTCACAATTGAAAAAATTTAATTTTATGCAACAAGAATTGCAAAAAAGAGGGAGAGAAAAACGTAAATTACACATTGTTTTCCAGTGCAAACTTTGCACATTTGCATGTGTTCATCATTATCGGATTGCATTCATATGGATTTAATGGTGCTTTTTTTTCCGCAGTGGCGGCTTCGTGTTTATATTGAAAATAAAAATACATGAAAAAAAATGTGCTGGAAGCAAAAGATAGTAGGAAAAAAAAACATCATGGCATCAGCAGAGAAAAATTGCCACAAGGAAAAATGCATCGTCAGAATTGAATAAAACAATGAAAATCTCCCATTGAACGTCATTAATATTTGTAGCGTTGTTGAGAGTGAGAGAGAGAGAGAGTGCGCGAGTGAAGCGATAAATGTGTTCTTTGCTAGATATGATGGTCGGTGCCGACCAATCTGCCGGCTCAATGCTTCTTCTTTTTTTCCACCATCCGCTTATAATTTAATTGAATAATATTGCGTCTGGATTTGCATATACACACAACGCATACCATGCCCAAGAGAATATGAGGATTCGTTTGCGATTTCCCAATCTCATCTATTTATGTCGCGCTCAGCAGAAGCCAAATGCAGACACGCGCCGCATAGCGATAGAGCGAGAAAGAGAGAAAGAGATGACGAATACATGTCTGGACATAAACCACTGCCGCCATATCGTTGCTCGACGCGTTTATATACATCAAAAACATAGAGCTGATAAAATACATATTTGCGGTCATGTTTGTTGGATTCTCCGGGATATGGTGAACACACCAAACCAAGCACCGATGATGCTATGCGCAAAAACGCAAATCCCCACAATCGAACCACGACGTTCCAAAACCAATTGGAACACATTTATTTCGCAAAAGATGCATTTCAGCCAATATAAATTCTGTCGATGCAGCCGCCGTAGCCACAACTCATCTACTAATATAATGATTGAAAGCCCGTGCAATGGCTAAATAAAAATGTTGACAATGATGAGAAATGTGCTGAAGGCGATGATTGAAAGGTCTTTGTTCAATGATTTTAATGCCATTTTTCTCTCGCTCTCTCTCGGTCTCTCTCGATCGTTTGGGCACCTCCTTGCAAAGTGCTTTCATTGTTATATGCATTCGATTACACATCGGTTTCAGCTATCTCGCTTGCTCTACTCCTTCTTTTGGTCTTTCTCTTCCTCTTGTTCTCTTACACTTACCCTGTCTCGCTCTTTCTCTTGTTCACTCAAGCTCTCGTTCTTACACTCTCCCGGTCGTTCGGTCAGTCAATTTAATTTATTTCTCTTGTTGATTTAATCTAAATTGAGTTTCGAGTCGAGGACATTCCACCAAAGAATTTACTACTCGCACTTCATTCATGCAAACAATTTTCCATTTTTCACACATATACACACACACACACACACACACACACACACATCAACGACCACTTTTACGACCATCCGAGGTGCTTGTGTATATTCACCTCGCTCACATGTGAATGTATGTGTACGCGCCATTCTCATTTATGCAATTGAAAACACGTTATGTATCGAATGTTGATAAAATGATTGATGTCACAACACTTTGATGATAGTTTCCATTGGGACGAGCTTACGTCAACAGTTCAATTTTTTATGAGATTGTGTCATTTTGCACAGCGTAGCCATCAACTAACGATGAAGAATGGTGCCATTTGCAAACTTTATTTTCATACTTGCTTTCGAAATTAATTGAATATTTTATTTCCAGATCAAAATTGCGACGAAGTGAAAGATGGTGGACAAGTGATTGAAAAATGCAGTGAATCAAATAAGGTTCTGCCAACCAGTGAAAATGGAGCCGAGAAGATGGAAATATGCCAAAACAGTGCCAAAAACGATGAAAATTTTAAAACAGATCAATCCGATGATTCTGCAAAGACAGATTCGGAAAGCATCGCACCGGAGAATGTCACATTCGATGCACTGGAAAATACAAAAGTCGCAATGGCACAATTCGCAGCGGCCGCTTTATCGAAAGGGACCAATGCAAATTCGGTTAAAGACTTGACAATGCTTCAGTCAGCTTTATTTACACTACAACATCAGCAAGTCTTTCAGATGCAACTGATTGAACAGTTACAATACCAGCTGGCCAAAAATAGCGTGAAAAGAGACAAAAAACATGTGACATTTTCGCAAGACGGTGAGAACAAAGATGAAAGTGAAAAAGTAAACAAGGATCTAGTTGATGCAGCTGAAGATGCAGTTGAGGATGATATTTTCATCAAAAATTCGGATGAACGGTAAGTTTATTGGACAAAAAATTCGATTATCGTAAATGCTTCAATATTTTTTTAGCAAATTTTTTTTTAGCCCGTAAAATGCTTTTTGTTTACCTCAATTTATATCCAAAATATTTGGGTTAACCCCTTTTCTCCACACAAAAATAGCTCTGACACTCCAAATAGCGACAAAACAAAAGAAATCAAAGTACAAGATGAAAAACGAGAATCAAAAGTCGAACCAAAATCCAATGAAAAAGAAAATTCCGGTCTTGAGTCATCACCAGCCGACTGTAACATTAGCTCAACGCTTGCTTCAAATATAATCACAAATCATGACTCAAGTCCACCGTCAAATGGGACCAATTCCCTGGAACTGTTGCAAAAGCGTGCCGAAGAAGTGTTGGATTCCGCATCACAAAGCTTTACAACGGGCAACCTAATCGATGAGCTTTCATACCGAACTGGTGCTTATTTCAATGATGGTCCATCGGATGATCCAGCACTAAAGCATCGTTGTCGTTTCTGTGGTAAAATTTTTGGCTCAGATTCAGCGTTGCAAATTCATTTGCGATCACACACCGGTGAACGACCATTCATTTGTCGTGTGTGTGGCAGTCGTTTTACAACCAAAGGCAATTTGAAGGTCCATTATCAGAGGCACACTGAAACAATGGAATTTGGCGATGACTTGAAAAAAGATCTTGGTGTTCTATACGATTTTCGAGCTCAAAGCAAGCAAATGAAATCAAAAGTATTGCCAGATAACTTGCTCGATGAAACGTTCGATTTAAGCCAAAAGAAGGAAGAAAAGGAAGATTTTTACAATGAATCAAATGAACCTAAATACTCTCCAGCATCGGAATCACCAAAAAGATTCGATGATGATGGCGGTCGTCATTTTTTGAATTTCGATCAAGAGTATTCGTCGTCGAAGAAGAAAGCTTGGGAAAAGTACATGGAAATTGTCGACACACCCAAAGCATATGAACTGCAACAGGACGAAGCCTATCGAGTTGATCCAAACAAATGCCCAATTTGTAATCGATTGTTGTCGTGTCGAAGTGCTTTGAGACAACACTATCGAACGCATACCGGAGAGAGACCATTTCGATGTCGACTGTGCACGCGGTCATTTACGACGAAAGGCAATCTAAAAACTCACATCGGCGTTCATAAGATCAATCCACTATTGAATCCAGTGCACAGTTGCACAATGTGTCACAAGAAATATTCAACAGCTCATGCAATGCAGCAACATACTAACACACATACTGGAGCTCCAATTGAAATGACCATCGATCAAATCAGAGCCGCAGAAGTTCGAGATTTTGTGTCACAAGATTCATTGAACGATCTGTTTGGGTCGAACTCATCGCTGGGCGATTTTAATGAAACGAGAGACAATTCAATGGATTTTGAAATGACACAACCGAAAAGCGATGCGGACCTTCAAAGCAAAATACCGTTAGTTGACTTGTCTGATTCAGAGAATTCAAAAAGTCGAGCAAAACGAATGTCACACGATTTTGAGAAAGAAATTGAAAAACTACGGAATAATTATTCAGGATCACCCGAACCAAAACGACGGTGCAGCGAAGCGGACAAACCAATTAAGAGTGAATCGACAAAAGAGAAAGGAATGGATTTCTTTACGAAATTTTCACCAATGTTTGGCTCAGCATCAGTTCCACTGTCATCGCCATCACTTCTCAGCGGTAATATCAACTCATTGCTGGCGTGCAATTCGTTTAGTCCCGGATTTTCGACAGGTAAGGAAATTTTTTTGATGAAATTTCATGAGCCGAACGAAAAAAAATTACTTTCAAACTACGATTTTTTCGCAGATTCTCTTTGATGATTAGATCAAAATAGCCGATAAACGTTTTCCTTTTCAAATTTTGATCTTTCTTCGAAAATAAGTGGATTTTATGCTAAAATTGCAATTGATTCTCCGGATTAAATCAAATCTTCATCGACTTTTCTCTCTTATTTCCTCACTTAGGTGTTCGCGGTAACACGACGTGCAATATATGTTTCAAGACGTTGGCGTGTCATTCAGCGCTTGAAATCCATTATCGTAGTCACACAAAGGAAAAGCCGTATGTGTGCCAATTGTGCAATCGAGGATTCTCAACCAAGGTAATACACCGAGTTTTGTTTATTCGAACATACTATTGTAATGAGTGAAAATCAAAACAAATCTGTGCCTTTTTTTTGCAATGGCTGTGGCATATTGTGCCACCAAGTGTGCAAAATTCCCCGTCTTAAGTGTGCAATGAATGCGTGACATTCTTTTTTCGCTGCTGTTGTTGTGCGTAGAAAATGAATTATTCCGACCAGACGAGCAACTGTTCAGCATCAGTGGCAGTGTGTATCGGCATCGGCATTAGCAACGAAGATTCGCTATAATATCGCACATGAAAAATCACGGCTCGTGAAGCACTTAAAATAAAATTTCATAAATTAATAATCTCGTCTAGTCGCTAGACTATGGCGATGTTTTTTTTCGCCTGTTGCTTTCTTTTTGTTGTTGCTGCTGAATTTGTTGTACATCTCAATGTTTTCAGAACATTCGTCAACGGATTTAATTGTGTCCCTTTAACGTTGTTCATTATTTCTTTCATTTTTCGTGCAGGCAACTCTCTCCCATACACACACAGACACACACACACACGATATTTTTCTGTCCCTTTTACACGATTCGTCTCTGTCGTTGCAATTAATGCGAATTGAAATTGATGTTATGGCGAAAATGCATCGCGCGTCATTCAATCACACTGGGGGGAAAAAAGAGAGAGGACGCTGAAAGTAAGCTAGAGTGAAAGCGATAGAGAAGAAAAGGGCAAGAGAGATAGAAAACTTGAGCACAAAGTGAAAAATCATCATCTTCATCGACGTGAACAACAAAGACCGTGAGAGACAAAATGTCTCATTCGTTTTAAGTTGCAAATAGATCATACAATTTATTGTTGTTTATTAAGTCTGTGAATAAGCGACAAATATGATGAGATGGCCGTGCATAAGCCGAACCGATTATAATGATGCCGTGCATCATAACACGAAGAAAGCGAGCGCGCAGTGTGCGCGAGCTCACACCGAAACATGATCGGGCATCGTGCCAGTGTCTTCACGTACACATCATATATGAAATGCGAGTCTAATAACGAAATAAAACGAATAATGTGTTATTACGCGAAGCACGACGAGTTTCTGTCTGCGATGTATCATAGCGTAAAATTCTTGGTTCTGTCGTCGGCGAATTTTGACATTGTTTTTTGAAATGTTTAATAAATTGCCTGTACACGCTCTTGCGCCCTGTCTACGCAGCAACAGCAGCAGCAACAGAAACAGCTTCGCCATACAGAGATGGTTGTCGCTTGTGCGACGTAATTCATCTTGAAAATGGCTGTGCCAAAACAAATGAGAAAGTGATTATAAAGCGGCCAACAATATTTTACAATTATTTTCTCTTCTTCGACGCTGCAGCGATGTCTGTTCGTTTGTTTTTATTTATGGCTTCGTTTGCTCCGATTCCATTTATTTTGTCCTGTCACATTTCATATTGAAAACGCACTCGCGACAATAGCCAATTTTGGCTTTCGGTTCGGATTGTTTGTTTTTTTTCTCTCTCTCTCTCTCTCTCTCTCTCTCTCAAAATTTGATGACTTTTTCCATCTGGTTGTTTCTTCGACTAGGGCAATCTCAAGCAACAATCGAAATGATTGCCATTGATTTATTCAATTTTAAGTTGTTCATTGCTTTCTTTTTTCCCCATGCAATTCTAAATGCGTCCAGGGAAATATGAAGCAGGTATGTTCTACTGGTTTATTAGGTGAATTAGTTTATTGTAAAGTTTTTGAATCCAGTCGTAACTCTTTGAAACATCCTCTAACCCGTCAGCATATGATGACTCACAAAATTCGCGATATGCCACAGCATATGTTCCGAAATTCCACACAATCACCATCATCGGATAGTAACAATTCGCTGTCAGTCTCCGCGACTTTTCAATCACAACAGCAGACCGAACAACAACCAGCTGAGACTGCACACAGTCTGGATGACACAGTAAATGAGGATCGCCAATTAAGAGCATCGTCGCACACAAATGACAATGATTTTGACAAGAATGCTAGCGCTGTCACAGCTGCTGATCAAAGCAATCCAACGTACTTATCGTCGGATGATTCAGGCTCAATGTCATCGCCCGCCCGAACGAACAACGGCGAAAGTGAAATTGGTGGTGGCGGCGTCGTCGATGACAACAACGAAATCAAGAGCGACACAATTTCAAGTGTAACCGTTAACATTCCATCGAAAACGACCGCAAAAAGTGAGGACGATTGTACCAAAGTAACGCCACGAAAGCCGCGAACAAAGGATAAAAATCGAGACTACTGCAAATTGTGCAACAAACATTTTGGGTCATTTTCAGCGCTTGAAACTCATATACGATCACATACTGGAGCCAAGCCCTTCACCTGCACCGTATGCGAAAAATCATTCTCGACCAAAGGCAATTTGAAGGTAAATTGATTAACTCTAGGAAGCAGTTTTAGCTTTAACATTTTTGAACATGCTCAATTTGCCTTATCGAGGTGAATTTCGGCGCATCCGCCAAGATTTGAATTAATCTTTTTTTTTTCAATTTTATGCTCATTTTGACTAGGTTCACATGCAGGCACATTCCTGGCCAAACGAACCCAATCGCAACAATCGCATATCGCTTGATTTGTCAAATCATTTTCCACCAATGAGTCCGTACGGTTTACACCGGCCGACCGAACTATTCAACCCATTCATTGCAAACGCTGCCGCTATACAGCAAAAGGTAAGTCTCGACACCTTTTTTTTCGTTGTCATTCTAATTTTAAAGCTGTTTCGACGCTCGTCATCATCATAAAATGAGATGTTTGTAAATGTTTTTGTTCTGCTTTTTTTTCTTCGCTTCATTTTTTTTTTCCTAGTTACATGAAGCCAATTTGTATCAAAAATATGCATCAAACATGCGAGAATTTACAGCCGACATTCTGAAAAACAATGACGAACAATCGTTACACCGAAATTTATTTGGGCTAGCACATTTACCATTTCAAATGTTTAACGACCATATCGATCACGGTTCGATGAAAAACAAATAGATTTTTTCGATCTTCAGTGACAAAATATCAATCGACGGACATTTTTTTTTTCCGCGATCATAATCATATTGTTGCATTTTCACAATCAAACCCTGATTTTTTGTTTGATTTCACACACTCACACACGGTATGAACATCAGAAAAAACAATATCAAGGACATGTCACAGGAATCAAGTACAACAAACTACAACTTAAGAACCAACTCTATATCACATTCATATTTAAATTAGCTGCTAACGATACCTTTTAAGTAAGTGTTTAAGTGTGAACAAAAACCAGAAATATGAAGAGAAAACAAAATAAAGGGAAAACCAACACGGAGAATTTAAACAACATGGAAAAATTGGAAAAAAAAGTGAGACTTTTTTCTTTTGACTTGATTTTATTAATGGGGAATTAATTCACTTGTTGCAATGGATAAACGACAAAATGTTGTCAAAACATAGGTAAGCTGCATATTTTTCAGTTTTTTTGGCAAAAAAAAAGAGAAATTAACAGACAGGCGATGTCTGCCCATTCAAAAACGATTTTTTTCCACTGGAATATATTTTTCGCCATTTTTTCATGAATTTTCTTATTTTTTGCTCTTTTTGTTTTATCTGAATGAAACATTACGAAAAAAATTCGTACAATAATAAAATGTGCAACGTAGTTTGAAAGCATCAAGCATCATCTTTTGTTCCTTTTTGCCGTATCTTTTAACGCATGTTCAAAGGCAATCACAGCATTTCATGTTTTCGATTTCGAGACTTCCATTTGGCATTTACAAAAGCAAAGATTAAAGAATAATTTTTTGTATCGCGCGACAGTCAAAACATGAAACAAAGATAATAATGGGATCAATGCTCGGTTTCGCCGAATGAAGAAATTTATTTCCTCAATAAAGGAAAACTCCAAAGGAAAATTGACAAAAAACGATCTTGTGAAATGAAGAATCAAACGGTTGGGAAAGAGACATCACCGGAGGAAATCTGTTGAATAAATGAATTACATTTCAGAATTGAAAGCGACAAGAGGAATGAAACATGATGTGTGTTTTGTGAAAGAAACAGAAATGTTCTCTTAAAAAATTTGTGTTTTCGATGTGGTATTTCCGTGTTCCATACATTGAAATGTTCCAGTTGTTGGTGGAGAGTGTGTGAAAACCGGGCAACACAAAAATTTGCATATTTGTTTGACGATCAGTAAAGAATTTATCATATCAATGGGATGAAAAATGCGGAGATTAAACGTCTGTAATTGCCAGACACAAATGAAAAATATGCGTAAAATGGAGAAAGAGAAAAAAAGTGCACACAACCGATTCCACAGAGCGTGTGTGTGACACATGGAACGAAAAATGCGATGCGAATTTATAAATCTTTTAATAACTCTGTCTGCAAAAACACAAGTGGCACTCGTGGCATGTGTCAAAGAATGAAAACGCGGTGACAATGGTGGCAATGAGTAACCGTAAATCGACGACGACGACGACGAAGACGAAACACAACAACCGAACGAGAGAAAAAAAAGTATCACCAAAATAGCGAATGTGTTTGGTGCGTACAAAACGTGCCTCGTGCAATGCAAATAAATAATAATATAGGTGAACGTCTTCTAAATGATCTTCAAACGGGCAAACAAACATAGACCTCTACACACTAGTTGAAATTGATTGCCATTTCTACATACACGCACCGAACCTCACACAGTATGTACCAGAAAACCACTGAACAAAAATGGGGAAAAAATCGAGTCGATTGTCGATGTTGTCGTACTTCAGACGCATTTTTCTTTCGCTTCTATTGACTTTTTCACTTCACATCACACTGCTTTCGACTAGTTTTCGGCGAATACAAACGCTTTGAGCAAGTGTACGACATATTAAAATTAATTTACGAACACGGGCTCCTTTGTCTGGCCAATTTAATTAAAATTTTGACTTGGATGTGCTCGTTTTTTCATGCAAAAAAATGTATCATATTTTATAATATTGTCTCGCGAAGCAAATGCAATTCACTTGAGCAATGTTTGTTTGTGTGTGTGTGGTGAGTTATCGTTTTTCCGGCCTAAATACACACAGCAAAGAACCAGCCGCTCGATTCCGCATGCATCAAATAATTTATAATTGTGACATGTTCTAAGTAAATATTGGTTGCGCCAAGTAAAATGCGCCAATTTTTGCCAACCGTTTTTTTTTTCGTTTTATTATAATTTGTTGTCATCATGTTGTGGTTTTTATTTTCATAATATATGATGCATTCAACACAGGGGCCTTTGTTCTGCATTCATTTCACTGTTACTGCTGTACTCGTTGTTGTTGTCGCCTGTTTCATTCAATATTGTCGAGCAAGTTTTTCATTGCTCGAATTTTCCGATCTGTCATTTGTGGGCCTTGTTTTGACGTCATCATAGCAACAGAAAGATCGAATGAAAAAAGAGCACCGCACCGAACCAGAAGTGTTTTCGAATATTTGTGGCAAAATTTACGACTGCAGACAATTGAAACGGGGCAGAAAGGTTTTTAGCATTTCGATTTATTACACGACATCAAATGATATAAAAGACATTTGCATTCATGGTCTGGTTTTTTTCTCTTCTTCTTCTATTTTTGCTCGACAATTTTCACATGAAAATGACGAACAAAACATTCCGTTGGTCTATATACCGTCGTCGATGGCATTGCACATACGATTGTAAATTGAAAAACCTTTGACATTTACAATGGCTTTTGGCAAACGCTATGATTTTTGTTCCGAAAAAAAAATTATTCAAGGTACAAAAGTCGGGCGAATTAATTTGTTTGGGTAAAAAAAAAATGCTTGGCAAATACTTTGAATTGAAAAAAAAAAAAGTTTTGGAGATGCCGAGCATTGATCTCGGTACCTCTCACATGCTAAGCGAGCGCTCTACCATTTGAGCTACATCCCCGATGAATGTAGCGTGTCCCTTATCATTCGCACTCCTCAATGACATAGTGCTTTGTTTATTTAATAGTTTCAATATGGATCGAAGTGAAAGGAGCAATTATTGAACTAGTTTTTGGTGATTTTATCGAATGAAAGGGCAGCAAAACCACCGTTTATTCGTCGGGGATGTAGCTCAAATGGTAGAGCGCTCGCTTAGCATGTGAGAGGTACCGAGATCAATGCTCGGCATCTCCAATCATCTGTTTTAAAAATCCTCCAACAATAATGTTTTTTTTACGAAGAAAAAAATCGAAAAAATTTCTCACGCCACGGACGTGTTGATCGATATCACCGTAAATATTCGTGGTCACCGCTGAATTGTTTTTGGCATCGAAATGCAAATATAACGTTAAGCTTGTAAAACTTTCGCATCGAGAATGTGCGTTAAACGGGCAGAATTGATGTGCGGTTTCCGTTCGGCAGTAGAGTCAATTCAACAATCTCATACATCTTTATTATAGACATTCTCACAGCCGACGACACAAAAGTCATAGCGTTTTCTCTGTTTAACGCATACACACCACCAGTCGACAAAATTATGAAAGAAAAGAACAACAAGCGAAAGAATTTATCGCAGCGATAATGTGAAGCAAGAGAAAAAACACACACCGTCAACCGCACATATCTAATTATAATTAATCAATTAGTCAGTGAATTCACGGAATGAGTGAGGAGCGTGTATAGGTATGCCGTGGTACGGAAGAGCCGAAATAAATGCGACCGAAATATATACAAATATTATTAGTTTTTATTTATGAGTCTATGAGATGATGCAGACTACAGCCATTCACCACGTGTGAATATGATAGCAGTGATGATATGTTTCTATATTTATAATATTTGTTTTCTCTCTCCCATCAGAAAAAAACAAAATGTGTGTGTTATTTATTTTCCGTGATTGTTTACAGTTTCCAAAATGTGTGTGTGTATATCAGAAACATATTTTTTACACTTTGCAGCAGCAGCAGCAGTAGCAAGATTTGTTTGCATTGTGGGCCTGTAAAAATGAGTGATTTATACATGCGCGCAATGAACATGAGCACAGTTTTTTTCTGGTCGATTTGAATCCCATTTATTATCATCAAATAATTTGAACGCTGAAGCGCACTTTGATATTTGTGTTTGGTTTGCGTCACAAAATCGAACCAAAGAAAAATTTCGTGCTGTGCGTCACGGTTACCATATGAGAGAGAAGGACCCAGCTTGTGACCGAGTAACAATACATGTGGTAATGAATTACGATCACATAAATTATGCAGAATATTCGGCCAAATGGTCAATTACATAAATTGGGAACAGATTGACGCGTATTTCATTAAATTTAAGATAAAAATCGATTAAATTGGGGCGAAACGACTTTTTGTTTCAAGATTTGTTTTTCGTTTTCGATCTATAATCCGAATAATTAATTATTCAGGCAATGACATTCAAGTATTTCCTGTACGGTCATCATTCCCAGGCATTTCTTTGCCGCGTTGGTGACGAACAATTTGATTGCCTTGTTTCACACACGATTTTTGGTAGCTAGATATGATCAACATGTGCCGATCGATTCTGACGCAAAATCCATTTTCAATTAATAAATTTAATTTTTATTCTGAGACACCACTCTCTTTCTCACTCTGTTTTTTTCCCTTTTCGCTCGCTATATGTATGTCTCATACCGCTGATTCATCTCTGGACTGGCCGATTGGCTTTGCTGTTGCTACCAATGTTGCTGTGTGTAAGTGCCATTGCATATGTAAAAATTTATCGGTTCGTTTGTATCAAAAATTTTGGCGCCAAGATACCGCATCGCAACCATATACAATGTTCCGTACTGTTTGGCGATGTGCAATTTGAGCGCTTGCACACACAAACTGCACTAGACATTGGTAAATATGGCATAAAATAAAACCAACTATTTGCCCATATTGATTCGTCGCAAATGTTCTGGTTCTCGTGTTCTCTTTTTTTTTGTCTCTTGCGCTTGTTTTTCATTTCCATCTGGAGAGTGAGCATCAGCGGCTCAATTTTTCTCACATGGCTCTCGCCAGCAGCAGCCGCAACAGTAACACAACCGAAAGAAGGAAAAAAATTATCGCGCGTCACGATTCTTTTCTTTTTTACATCGAGATATACACACACATTGTGGCTGAAGCTTGAAATTTGTGAGCAATTTCCCGATGCGATGGTTTCAAATTTGAGAGAGAGAGAGAGAGAGAGAGAGAGAGAGAGAGAGTGAAACGAAAAAAAAAACACGAAGAGCGCGAGCACATCGAAACAAATTAAACGAATATGTGGCGAATAATAAGCGAATTGTGAAAAATTTGTGTGCACTTCGCAAACCGAACACGGATACAAGACAAGAACAATATCGAACATTGGTTTTGCGAGTGCAATGAGCAAAGAGAGAGAAAGGAAGCATATACAACACTCGCGTGTACACTTCGAAAATGAATTAAAGAAAATGCCCACGAAAAAAAAGCAGATCGCATAATTAAAGAGATGCCAGTTTTTCGAACATTTCTACGAATTAAATTCACTCGTGGCCGTTGTTTTTTTCTGCTTCAAATTCTGGCTCTCTCTCTCACTCTCCATCACACTAGTTCACAATTCGAGAGCTGGAATGTTAAACTGTACAGTTTTTCTTAATACGAACAATTCAGTTTTGCGGCTCCGAGTTAATTAACGCTATTCCGATGAAAATTTCCAACATTCTTTCATTTTCTGCGGTATTCCATTTTGCGGCATTCAAGGAAATGAAATTCATAAAAGAAACTTCGAATTTCATTAGATTTCAACGTTAAATAGAAGGAATGATGACATAATAATAACCATACATATGTCAATTTGTTATTTCATCCTCGAAAATTCAAACGGCCTATACCATAACGAAACCAACAATTGAGAAACCAAAATAAAAAGAACAAAGGAATAGAGTAACTTTAACTTAGATTTTACACACAACTTCAACAATTACTATCTATTTTTGGTGATTGATTTCATTCATATGTAAGGAAAAATATGTTTAGCAAACGGTAAAGCTAACGAATTGTGATTAGGTGTCTTATTATATCTTGCTGCAATAATAGAATTTAACGTGACAAATCAATACAATTTCAAGTGTCCGACTTTATGGTGAATTGCCCAGGGAGCTCCATTTATACTTCAATACTGTTGAGAATCATCAACAACGAATACACTTTTCGGCTCAACTGGAAAGATAGATTTAAAAGTAATTGATCAGTTGCCATTCGACTGCTTTAATCTGATCTTGCATTATATAAATGAAAATATGCTTGCCAGTTTTATGGTTTCGTAATTGAGTTCTTCAAATGGTCCAATTGTGAAAGTGGCTTCATTTTGAAATCGAATCATCATATGCATCAAGTCCTTTTGATCATCAATCGGCAAGAGATACCATTTGAAATCGTACAATGCCCGGAGTATGCGTTCATTCTGTGCGATCATTAAGAATAGAGTAAGTTTTCATCAATCCAACTGTTTAAATTTAATCTTTCATAATAAGATTTTCAAAATAGTTACCCTGTCAATGACATTTTGACCGGTGATGTATGTCACAGCCATTTCAATATACTCACAAACCGCTAATCCATAGCCAGCTGGATATCTCATCTATCAAAATAATCAGATTAATTAAATTTAATGCAAAAGAATGAAGTCAAATTTTTTTTTATACCATTTTTTGGCAATAAATTGACAAAGCTATTGACATGTTCAATGAAGGAGGTACTAGAAAGTGTCGTATGTACATGATATCAGCAACAAAGTTTATAAATCTACACCAACAAATGACAATATTACCACAGTCATTGTTATGATGTATCCTTTTAACAACCCATTTATGCTCTCATCACAAATGCGATTGTATTCAGACGGTTGTCGATCGTCCCGATAAATGTGTTTGCCAGACACGTTGAGCAATTTATTCCATTGTTTTATCTTGAATACCACTTCAAAATATCCTGAATACAACTTTAGAAATGTAAATGGAAAGAATTTTGAAAACGAAAGTTCGTGTGACATGGGCAAATTTCATAAGAAAATATATCATGAAAATATTTATTGCTTACCAAATTAGTAACACCGAAAATGCAGGACGTTGACAAACACTGAAGAAATTTGTGTGATAATAAACGGTGTACATCATTAAACTGTAGTGAATAACTGCAATAACACTCGGCACGTATCCAAGCGGTCCGATTTTTAAGCTACCATATAAATCAATTTGTGTCGATGCCGCCAAATAAATCGGTTAAAACTGTAAAATGCGTTCCTTTTTTGTTCAGGAGTTTTGGATTTCCATGCAACTTTGATTCGATTGATCAAACCGGAGAAAATTTGAATTATTTTCCATTTGTTGATCATTTTCAAAATACTGTTGTCTTCGAAGCTGATTCAATTAAGTCAAATACAGAGTCAAAGTTTGTCGCACGACAATTTTCAAATATTTCGTTAGATCCGTAAAAATGAACTCAAATATTTGGTATGATTTCGAAAGTGAATGTTATGTTAGTTTTCCCAAATAAAAATTAAAAAAATAAAATATTGACTGTTTTTAAATGTTTGCTATGAATGTCATTTTCAGAGCGTAAAGTTTGACAGATACCATTGCTGATGTTAGGGTGTGTTCAATATCGGTATTGAACAATGAAATGTACTAAACACGTGATTGTGAAATTATGAGTTGTGTGAAAAAATTCACTTTCTATCGAAAATGTGGGAATTAATGTCCACAAAGAGACAAAAGAATGATTTGCCATTTATTATTTTTTACTAGTGTTTTCAAAACAAAGTTGCATTACTTGAAATTGGTCGTGCCATGTAAACTCGATGATGACAATTTTCTCACTCTTATGTTTTAGGCATTTTGCATGCAAAATAACTCGACTGTTGAAATAACTCTGATTTCTTTTCTGAATTGAGTTTATGAATGAAAAAGTGATTTTGAATAAAATTGTATAAACAATAAATAAAATCTTCATCAGAACCATATGATAAGATATTTGTATCACCAACAACAGATGGCGACATTGAAAACATTCAATTTAGTACATCTGTCAAAAAGCACGAAAAGGTTTCAGGTTCTTTTGCAAAAACTCAAACCCAAAAATGGGTTAATTAGGAACGTATGGCATTTTCTCCCAGTAATAATGGGAACCGATATTTCAACTGCTCTACTGCAGAAATCAAATGCGCATTTTCTAATTGGATTAGTGAAGAATAATAATTGAGGGTACAATGAGAACTCTTAGCATTGGCTTTCCGAAGAATTTTTGAAAATATTGAAGCTAAACTGATTTCAATCAAGGCTAATGGGTCTCGATTGGCCAATAAATTAAGTTAACCGCAATTATTTAGTAAATGAAATTTAAATCGTCATTTGATTTCAAGAACAATCGAGTAAACATTGATTGACTTACTTTGCCTTACTGGTCAATCAATGGAAAACATTAGCCTTGACTACATAAAATCAGTTTAATTTCAATTCTTTTTTTTAGTCCTCTAGCGAAACCACTACACACAGGGAAGAATAATTCGGATTTTTGGTACAACGGATTTTTTTCATAAAAAAAAACCAAAATTAAGATATCTTAAACAAAATTTATTATCCTCCATACAAATTTTGCCTGAAAAAAAATTATTTGTTCAAGATGTCTTAGTTTTGGTTTATTTTTACGAGAAAAAAAAATCCATTGTACCAAAAATCTGAACCATTCTTCCCTGTAATGGAATAAAGTTTTCTAATTGTATCCCTAATTAATCTTCATTAATCCAGTCAGCAAATGCGCATTTGATTTCTGCAGCAGAGTTATTCAAATGTCGGTTGTCATTAGTACGGGGAGAAAATGCAATACGTTTTCAATTAAGTTATTGAAACAAATGTGTGAGAAAAAATGAATAGCGAGAAACTACACGAGACGAGCTAAGTAAGCGATACTCTTAATCTGTTTGCATTTTAAGCGGACATTCCACCAGTGTGACGCTTTTTTTTCTTCATTCAAATCAATTTCTATGCATATATACTATAGTATCTTATCAATAGTATCTTATCAGTATCTGTTTACTCTGTTCGATATGCTTGCGCACTTATCAATTTTGTCAAGTCACTTTGATTCCAATAATTTCAAATTGAATTCTGTAATTTGTCTTCATTTCTTTGTCTTCTCTTTCTTTATTTTGCTCTTACTCTCTCTCTCTCTCTCTCTCTCTCTCTTTTTCTCTCTTTCTCACTCACTCGTACTCAAATTCTCGCTTTTTGGCTTTTTTTTTACCCAATTCATCATCTTGCTAACGACGACGCAAACTTCTCGCATCTGGATAAAATAACTATTGTATCTAAATGGTACAATTCAAAAAATTAATTGTTAACGGTACACGAGAGCGCGACTAACGATTCAACGCTCACGATGTAGTCTCATTCTAGGCCGTTTCAAGTGTTCTAGTTCTTCGATTCCATCACCTTGATTTGCTCATTTACATGAATTAATTTAAATATTTGATTTGCACATTCAACTAACAAATGTGTTCGATGATATGCCTAATATGTCTGTCTATATATAGATATATATATATTTTATACTAAGTTTATGCGATTTTTTTTTATTTTTTGCTATTTTTGATATTTATCATCATTTATAAAAATCATTAAGGCGTTGATTTGTGATTGATGAATATTGCGAAATGTTGATCTTCTTCGCACACGTGTTAACATTAACATCTTCATGTTAATCCCAAAATTTGTATGGAAATTGCAAAATTTTGCGATAGCATGACAACATCGTGCCCGAATATAGTATGGCTAACGATTTGAAATAAAGTTAGAGGCAATATATGATGTATTTTTGTCATTCTTCCGTTGTTCAGTTGCTAAACGAATTTTTTGTGTGTCAATGGTTCAAATGTGCCGAAGACAACATTGAATAGAAATAGAGGATTGAGGTCATTTTTAATTCTTCAGTGGTTTAAAGTGCATTGAGGTGTTACAAATTGGATTAAAATCCATTTACTGTTGGATTATAATGCATTGCGTCGCTGGAGCGTGCTGCAGTCGTTGGTGATTAGGAGCGAAAGTGTGGGAAAAATTTGGAGAATGAAATATTGGTTCATGCCATTGCTCACGAACTGCTTTCGTTCTGAATTTATTGATTTGGGCCTTTTAATTTGAATATTAAATGTGGTAATCGAGTTCATTCGTTGTTGGAGGTCGTCAATATTGCGACTGAGTCTAGGCTCATAAGCTGCAGTTATCTCTTGTTTTGGAAGGCCAAGAATCGGAAAAAAAAACTTTCGAACTGTCTTCTCAACTCTTAAAACACTTTGGTTTACCATTGACTGCAACTCACATTCCAGCTAGATACGAAAACCGGCCGGTGAGATTCTTGAAAATTGATAAAAACAATCACATGATTCAAGGTAAGCTAATATCTATGGAATAGTAAGAAAATTCCGAGAAAAAAAATTGTTATTAATAATTTGTACGATTGAAGCGATATCGAGATGGAACGACTGAATTTATGCGTTTGTATCATATTTCTCTGTGTATTTAGCTGTTACGAGCATATTTGTCTGGAACCTATGAAAAACAGCTCGATGTTTGTATGGAAAATATCAAAATTCGCATCGGAATGAACTGTCTAGCGCACTGAGAATACTTAAAAAAACGAACCAGAGTACACGAGTTCACTTATATTTATGGGCAATTCATAGATGATGGAAATTCTATAAACCAATAAATATGACCATTTTAAAACGCATTTACAAAATATACTAGCATCTCGAGGATTTGCGCTGTCTCAACTCGTTTGGATGAATTCAACTGGATTTAAAGCGAAATTCATAAATTTGTCACACAAAAATATCGCGTTTTTGGTATTTTCCATTTGCATAAATTCATATTCGCTTTGTTCATTTAAATAACAGCAACAACAACGATAACGAAAATTATCATCTAATTCAAGCCATATTTTATGCATTTTCGTTGGATCGTCGTGTTTCATCTCGTTGTCATTTCATCTATATCCGTCATTGACGAACGAAAACATGCAATTCAATAGAATGGCCAATTCGTTAGTGTGACCGCACGCGCACTCATACACACAAAATTATCGATGAAACGCGAAAAAGAAGAAGGCTGAAAATGTTATTGAATTGAGTGCCAATTTATTGGAAGCAGCATTTCAGAAACGCGCGTGTGCGCACGGCATATTCGTTATCAGTATGAATAAATATGAGGAAATGTATGGCAATAATAAAATATATTTAAATTGCCGGACGCAAAGAGTCCATCGCATCGTCAGTAGTGTGGCCGGGACCGACACAAAGACAATGATTGAATTAAATTTTTTTTCATGTGCAATGGCAAAAGTGTTAACGCGAGTGAACGCGCGCGCACAAACAAGAACAACTCGAGCACATCGCAATCCAATTTCAATGGCACCACCATATACCGAACTAAATACATCAATGCGACACTCAAATTGCCAAAGAATCAGAAATTCTGATTCAGAATACAACACATGCGACAAAGAATATGAATATAAAAAGCCGAAACTCAAGTGCCGCTGTCGCTCTCGTACTCTAAAAGAAAAACCAAGACCAAGAGAATTCTTGAATGAAATGCGACATAATTTTTGCGAATCGTACGATTAAGCGAAAAAGAGACACGGGCAAGCAAAACGGCTGCATTGACTTTGCACTGATTGGCGTGTTCACCGTTCGTATCCATCGTTGCTGTTCTCTCTATCTTTCACTCTCTTTCTCTGCCTCT